TGCAATGCACACCAACCTGAAGGATGGACATATTTGAAACTCGGACTTGGGGGCGGGGGGCAAGGGCAACATACGTAACATAAACATCTGTACCCCCATAATATGCTGAAATAAAAAAAAAGTGATGAGATTTTAAATTAGAAAACCAGAGATGAATTTCTATGATATGTTGCTGTTGTGGATATGATTGAGTACCTTGAAAAACTAAGAGAATCAACCAAAAAATTATTAGGACTAATTAGATGGGTAAGTAGGAGGGTGGACAAGAGGATTCAGAGGGGACTGGGGAAACTATGTTTCCAGTAACATGTGCCCTTGATTGACTGGCTCCCACCAATAAATAATCAAACACCTAACTTTCATATCCCAATTTCCAGAGGATGTCCACTTCATTTTGTCCAAATGACTTCAGAGGAGATGTGCTTGTTTTGCATAGGGTATGTGACAAAGTGGGGCACAGAAAACTTTGCACTGGGCTCCAGTTTAATTAAACTAATGACTGGGAAGATGAGACAGGGGAGAGAGACACTTCAGGCAGAAAAGAGAACAAACGGGGAAGATGTGAGATATCTTGGTGTGAGTGGGAACCCATGTAGGTAGCTCAGTATCACTGGGCATAAAGGGTGAGTCAAGAAGCACAGGTAATAAGCAGGGGCCAGGGTAGAGATGACCTTTAATATCCAGGCCATAGGATTTATGTGTTATTTTGTAAGAGATATAACCTATTGTAGGTTTTAAGCCAGGATGTAACATGATCAACTCACATTTATGTTGGACTTTTAGTAACAATAGCTTCCATGGGAAATTCTTTTGCTTATAATCCTTGGTTCCATAGTCTTTGAGGGGAACCCAGAGAGTGAAAAAATAATGGCAATGGTGGAATCAAGCAGTATGTGCTTGCCATGGGTGGCTGCATTGAAATATAGGAGGCATTCATTAAATATTTGTTGATTGAACTGACTGTACTCACGGTGTATATGTGAGCTGTCATATTTAAACTCTGTGGAAGAAAAAGTTCTTTTAAAAAATTACTACCTGACTGGGCATTTTGATAAGCTATAATGATCTTACTTCTGACAGCCACACATATTAATAATATGAATCCCATCTATTTTTAGTTACCTTCATATCCAAGTTCTTAGAAACAGTTTCTATGGCAGGGGCAAGCTCTTGAATTGCTTTCTCAAGTTGCCGGTACTCGTGCCTGATGAACTGAATATCTCCAGAAAGTTTCATAATGCTTGAATCACATCTAGTGGCAAGATGGAAACTGGTGTGAGATAAATAGGTTCATAACATTTTTAATACAATGGTAGGAGCTGTGTATTCATTTGATGGCCAACGTCCTAAAGTTATTTGAATAATGAGTTGGTGGAGGTAGGAACATATACAGGGTTCTTCTTCCTCATTTTTCTCTTCTCTTCCTGCTAGGAGAGAAACCAAATTAGATGCATTGGCCCAAACCAGACTACCAAGTTGAAATAGTTTAGTTGGGGACATTGGGGTATATTGAGGGAAATGTTACATTTTCAACTTTACATTAACTCAGTTATAGGAGTTACAGCAGATTTTGATGTTTTAGGAATATACTCTGCTGCGTATGGTTAGACAAAATTAAGAATTTTTCTTCTTTTACATCATGTTATGAATCTACTTTCCTCCCTTTAACCTCTTTTATTGGCCGCCAGACTGCCAATGCACCTTTGGCTAGTAAAGGTGTCCCAACTAATCCAAATCTTCCAATCCATCTTCTTCAATTGCTCACCCTCTTAGCCCCAATCAAAAGTCCTGTTCCTACTGGAAACTATACAAAGACATAAAAATTAAACAACATACTCCTGAATGACCAATGGGTCTATGAAGAGATTAAGAAGGAAATTTAAAAATTTCTCTAAACAAATGAAAATGAAACACAACATATCAAAACCTGTGGAATACAGCAAAGGCCATACTAAGAGGAAAATTTATAGCAATAAGTGCCTACATCAAAGAAGTAGAAAATCTTCAAATAAACAACCTAATGATGCATCTTAAAGAACTAGAAAAAGAAGAGACAACAAAACCCAAAATCAATAGAAGAAAAGAAATAATAAATATCAGAACAGAAATAAGTTAAATTGAAACAAAAAAACCCCCAAAAGATCAATGAAAAAAAGTTGGTTTTTTTTTAAAAGATAAAATTGACAAACCTTTAGCCAGACAAAGGAAAAAGAGAGAAGACACAAATAGATAAAATCAGAGATGAAAAAGGAGACATTACGATTGATACTACAGAAATTCAAAGGATTATTAGAGACTATTGTGAACAGCTATATACCAATAAATTGGCAAACCTAGAAGAAATGGATAAATTGCTAGATATATACAACCTACCCAGATTGAACTAGAAAAAACCAAAAACCTGAATAAACCAATAATAAGTAATGAGATAGAAGGAGTAATAGAAAGTCTCCCATCAAAGAAAAGCTCAGTACCCAATGGCTTCACTTGAATTCTATCAAGCATTTAAAGAAAAATTAATACCAATCCTACTTAAACTAGTCCAAAATATCAAGGAGAAGGGAATACTCCCAAATTCATTGTGTGAGGCCCATATCATCCTGATACCAAAACCAAAGACACAACAAAAAAGAAAACTATAGGCCAATATCTCTAAAGAACATAGATGCAAAAATCCTCAGCAAAATATTAGCAAACCAAATTCAATAACACATTAAAAAGATTATTCATCACAATCAAGTGGGATTTGCCCCGAGATGCAAGGATGATTCAACATACACAAATCAATCAATGCGATACATCATATCCACAGAATGAAGGACAAAAACAATATCATTTCAATTGATGCTGAAAGCATTCAATAAAATTCAATATACTTCATGAAAAAAAAAGCTCTCAAAAAACTGGGTATAGAAGGAGCTTACCTCAACACGATAAAAGCCATATATGACAGACCCACACGGGTAGTGTCATACTGAATGGGGAAAAACTGAAAGTCTTTCCTCTAAGATCTAAAACAAGACAAGGATGCCCACTTTCACCACCATTACTCAACACAATACTGGAAGTTTTAGCGAGAGCAATCAGATAAGGGAAAGAAATAAAGGGCATTCAAATCGGAAAGGAAGAAGTCAAATTATCCTTGTTTGCAGACGATATAATCTTATATCTAGAGAAACCTAAAGATTCCACAAAAAAACTATTAGAACTGATAAACGAATTCAGTAAAGTTGCAGGATACAAAATCAATACAAAAATCAGTAGCATTTCCATATGCCAACAGCAAACAATCTCAAAAAGAAATCAAGAAAGTAATCCCATTTACAATAGCTACAAATAAAATTAAATGCCTAAGAATAATCTTAATCAAAGAAGGAAAAGGTCTCTGTAATGAAAACTATAACACACTGATGAAAGAAATTGAAGAGGACACCAAAAAATGGAAAGATATTTCATGCTCATGGATTGGAAGAATCAATATTGTTAAAATGTCCATACTACTGAAAGCAATCTACAGATTCAATGCAATTCCCATCAAAATACCAATGACATTCTTCACAGAAAAAAAATATCCTAAAATTTATACGGAACCACAAAAGACTCAGAAGAGGCAAAGCCGTCCTTAGCAAAAAGAACAAAACTGGAGGAATCAAATTACCTAACTTCAAATCATACTACAGAGCTGTAGTAACCAAAAGCAGCATGGTACTCACATAAAAACAGACACATAGACCAACGGAACAGAATAGAGAACCCAGAAATCACACGTCTATAGTGCCCTTATCTTTAACAAAGGTGCCAAGAACATACATGAGTGAATTGACAGTCTCTTCAATAAATGGTGCTGGGAAAACTGGATATCCATATGCAGAAGAGTGAAACTAGACCCTTATCTCTCACCAAATACAAAAATCAAATCAAAGTGGATTAAAGACTTTAAGACCTGAAACTATGAAACTACTAAAAGAAAACATTGCGTAAATGCTTCAGGGCATTGGTCTGGGCAATGATTTCTTGAGTAATAGCCCCAAAGCATAGGCAACCAAAGCAAAATTGGACAAATGGGATCGCATCAAGCTAAAAAGCTTCTGCACAACAAAGAAAACAATCAACAAAGGGACAAGACAACCCACAGAATGGAAGAAAATATTTGGGAGCCACCCATTTGACAAGTGATTATTAGCAAGAATATATAAGGAGCTCCAACTACTCAACAGGAAAAAACAAAATAATCTGATTAAAACACGGGCAAAAGATCTGAATAGACATTTCTCAAAAGACAATATACAAATCGCCAAGAGGTATACAAAAAAATGCTCATCATCATTAATCATTGGAGAAATGCAAATCAAAGCTACAAGAAATTATCATCTCACCCCAGTTAGAATGGCTTTTATCAAATAAGACAGGCAATAACAAATGCTGGTGAGAATATGGAGAAAGGGGAACCCTTGTACACTGCTGGTGGGAATGTAAATTAGTGCAACCACTGTGGAGAACAGTATGGAGGTTCTTAAAAAAAGTAAAAGTAGAACTACCATATGACCCAGCAGTCCCATTGCTAGGTATATATCCAAAGGAGGGGAATTCAGTATGTTGAAAGATATCTGCACTCCCATGTTTATTGCAGCACTATTCAAAATAGCTAAGATTTGGAGTTAACCTGTGTCCATCAACAGATGAATGGATAAAGAAATTATGGTACATATATACAGTGGAATATTATTCAGCCATAAAAAGAATGAAATCTTGTCATTTGTTATAACATGGAGGGAATGGGAGAACATTGTATTTAGTGAAATAAGCCAAGCACAGAAAAACAAATCTCACATGCTCTCTCTCATATATGGGAGCTAAGTATTAAAACAATTGATCTCATGGAGACAGTAGAATGATGGTTACCAGAGCCTAGAAAGGATAGCATGGGGATGAGGGGATAAAGTGGGGACGGTGAATGGGTTTAAAAATATAGTTAGATACAATGCACAATGTTTGATAGCACAACAAAGTGATTATAATCAACAATAAGTTATAGTATACTTTAAAATAACTAAAAGAGTATAGCTGGAATGTTCCTAACACAAAGAAATGATAAATGCTTAAGGTGATGGGTACCCCAATTACCTGATTTGATTAATACACATTGTATGCCTGTATCAAAACATCACATGTGCCCTATAAACATATACAACAATTATGTACCCATAATAAATAAAAATTAACAATTAAAATAAGCAAAACAAAAAGATAACAAACAACAAATACTCTCCTGTTCCTTGAGTGGTCTCAGTCAGGTGTTATCTTACATTGGGAAGAAATTAATTTGCACTAACATATGAATGAAGTTTTGGGCCATAAGGTTGCATTTGATAATCTAGGGGAGGAATTCCGGTGAGGTGAGCTAATTAACCAATTTCCCAGTATGTCAGTGGAGAAAACACACAGAAACCCCTCTCCGCCCATCATCAATGGCCTTTCTTGGTAGAGAGCTGGTTATACATCCCGTATTAATGATTGGTTTCAGTACATTCTCATACATGCTTGAAAGACAGGATGGAGAGCACTGAAACACTGTATCTTTTGTACATCTGAGTTATGAGAGATTACTCTGATATTTGTCATTTTATAAAATCAGTTTTGACTGTCATCAAATAATATTTATTAGGAACTACATTTTCATATTGTCATGCTAAGTGCTATAAATATTGTTTGCCTTATGACTGTCAACATTTTTTAGGACCCGGAAATAATTTTTTTCCTTAAGATTTTGGTGCCAAAGAGTTGAGCCAAAGGTGAGTGAAGATGGTAATTTTGCCTGAGCATTCCCTTGAGGGAATACTAGGTGATTGTGGTGGGGTGTGGAGGCTGGTGGGAGAAAAACAGAGGAGTTAATCTGATCAAGAATGGGAGCACCAACGTTGTGGTCAAAGCCATTTTCCACCTTTGTATACACAAACTGTCCTTGTCAGAACAACCCCTCTATTGGTTAGTTAGAATGTCCTCGTGTGAGTCTGTATTAAGAAACCCGAAAGCTCCTCAGGACTATTGCGGCTACCACCATTCTGCCATCTCCTCTGTCCCCCTCTTGTTTGCTGCCCTTGGGGACAGCTGGTCTGTGCATGGGAGGCTGTTGGTTAAGAATTTGTTCTCTGGTGTCAGATAGACCAGACTTTGCATCCTGCTTCTGCTATTTCCTGGTTTGTGATCTGGGACAAGCTTCTTAGTTTCAGTTTTCCTTATCTGAAAAAAATA